GTGCACTTGGACTTAGGTGTTAAATTTCGACCAAATTATTTAATTTAATAGTGACTTAAATAGTGAATAGTAATAGTAACTTGACTTGAAGATGAATTACAAAGAGCAAATACAAAATTTCCATCTGTGTCCACACTATAAAAAGCTAAATGTGTTCCAGAAGTGGCAGTATTTTGGGAAAGGAATTTGAGTTCATACACAAATATCTCATTTAAGTGCCTCTAAATAGCCACCTCCCTGAGGACCTGTGAAAGATCCCCATGCCGCAATACTTTTTCAGTCCATTTAAATAACACGAGAAAAACCTATAAAAAATGAATATTGATTTGCAACTATGAAACTCTGCTGCACTAAGGCTTGTTTAATGCGGCTGCTCCTCATGTATAATTGTACATCACATGTAGACAAGGACACATTTTTCTTCCTCTCTCACGAAGAGTCCACTTAGCAAAGATGTTGGTGCAGCGTGAGTACTGCAAGCTATGCAGGGATGAGGGCTTGTGAATGGGCCAGCTAGACTTCCTGTGACCTCTGAGGCTTAAAGTGGAGGAAATGCAACCTTTCGTCCTTAAGCCCCACCCCATCGGCCCATCCAAGGGCCGTCACCAATGATTAGAATCCAGTGTGGGGAGATTACAGCCTATTAGCATAGAGACGGATGGCCAGTAGTAACCTCACTACCGCACTCTATTTAAAGATCCTACTCAGCTTTCTCTTCTATTCTATAAACTTCTGTTTTGCAATTTCACTTGCAACAATGTACTGCATCTTTCTTTATTCTACTGCAAACCATCAATGCTTAATCATTCTTGCACAGCTCCTCCTCTCCCACTCACTCTCTTTTAACCATTCATCTTTATCGCTTGCTGCCATTCCTCTGCTTAGACCACCCTTCTTGGAGTCATACCACAACTTCTTCCTGTCACTGTCACTGAGGGATAAATTGTACAGACACCATAACATCCTGTGCACACAAAACAGCCATTTCCCCTCCTGAACTGATATGCAGCACAACAGGTAATTGCACTTTTCATTCAGGAAATAAACTTCAAGCTGCAGAATAAATAAAGTACTAGGGATGAACTGAGCAGAAAATGCAGCACTGATATAAAAGTAAAAAGAGACTTACACAGCAAGGAAACGCAAACAACATCAAAAAAGCAAATCAGACAAAAGATGTGTAACTGCATCAAAGAAGAGTTAAAGCAGCTGAGGTCTAGGCAGTGGCACTTACAAAGGCGTTGTAGGCAGCCAGGCAGCCGCTGAGGTGTAATGTGTGTCTGTGTGTGGTGTGTCAAGGGCCCTTAGGTGGATATCACATCACCCTGTGCAAACTAATGATTACCTTCCCATTGCCACCGGCCAGATTAAGCTGAGGCAAGCAAGAGGAAGGCAGCGAGATGCGTTTTGGCCTAGTTTGGGCCCGGCTGGCCTCCGTATCACACCACCCTCAGCTCTACAGACGCTGCACTCGCTCACCACACCCACTCACCCCTCCCTCCACCACTCTCTCTCTCTCTGACGCCCTCCCCCTGCCTAAACACACAGAGCTCTTCTTCTCCTGCACTAAAATGATACACAGACACTCTCGCACACAGGAACAGCGACACGCAATAAATGTTGAAATGATATTGTTGTGAGCCAGGTTCAGGTGTGAAGAAGTTTCAGAGACAGATGAAGACTTAACATAGCATGGTTTATTGAGCCCGGCTGAGGAGATACATTGCCAGCATACAATATGTGAACACGTCAAATGCCAACACCAAATCTGAAGGAAAACATCTTGTGGTCCCTTTTCTGTTTCTGTCTTCCCCCTAGTGCCTGTAAGTTTCTTTATTAGGTCACCTTCATCTAGAACAACTATCTATCTGATGTTTAGATTCCAGTGCTTCGTCATATTGGAATCTCTCACTATCCAAGAGTTGTACTCTAATCTGTGGAGCCAGTTAGTTCTTGTAAACATTCTTGTATGGCTCAACCTTGTAAGATTCCCAGAGAACACTTATATCTGCTAGCCTGACGTCTGAGCTACTGTCTCTAACTAATCAGTCTATTGTTGTCTTCTTGACGAGGACATGTACGTGTGAGAAATACCTAAAGCTAAAATGTCAAACACTTATGGGGTCAGCTACATTACTCTAAGCTAGACCTGTCTTACCTTTCCCTGTTACATCAATTAAGACACCTAAGAAATATTCTCAACAATATACACAAAATGCACTCACACGCATGCAAATAAACTCCTGCGTACACTGTTGATATTTGCACATAACAAAATTAAAACGAAGCGGCGCTAAGTGAGGCTGCTCCCAGCTTGATTTGACTATCAAAGCAAGAGAGAAGATAGGCCTGTGGATCTCAACCTGGTGGGGTTAGGACCCCTAATGGGCCCCAAGACAATTGTTTCAGGACATGATGTAATTTAAAAACACATTTTTGCTGTGTTAATTTTACTCATCTTTTTTGTGTGACAAATACTGAAATTTTTTAATCATTTGACTAACAGTTCTAACTGAAAGGGAAAACCAACTTTGTCAAATTGTTCACCAATGCGCATGCGCATCCTGTCATGGGGCCTCTGAGGTCACTGCTGCACATTTAAGGATATGAGTAAAAAGGGCAGACAACCACCAGGCTACATACCACTACTTCCTCCATTGTTCATTTTTGAGGAATAGTGAAAAACTCTCCTTTTGACAAAATTCTGAGATCAAACACTAACATTTTAGGATTAAAGAAGGTGTATAAAGGTTTTTTTCATTTCCATGAGGTGGGTGTAAAAAAATCAATAGCCCATAAATATTGGAGGTTTAGATCTGAAAGGAGCAGAACTGCAAATGAAAACCATGCAGGGACCACACTGTGCATTACTCAGTAGACTGATCTGTAAGAGAAGTACTTGGGCATGTGATGGGCAGACAGACTTGGTTCAGCACTTTAAACTTAGCCATTATTGCTTGACATCCTACAATATGAGGATACACTGAATGCTGAAACAGCAAAAAGCCACTCAGGTGGAAAACTGCCATGTGGATCGGAGAGCACTCAGACTGGCTGAAATTATTGATTACACCAGGACTGAGGCTTTAGAGTATTGTACATGTAAAGATGTTAAAATCCTCACATTGACAAATGTTTGTTGCCAAAGTCTGAATATGACAAATCACTTGTCAGACATGTAACTGTACAGGAATCTATCTACAAATATATTTGCCTCAAAACTCCTAACACTCCATGCAAGGGCACAATGACATGCATTTATCATACAGCAGGCAATACTTAACACTCTGCATGCATCCTCCTGTCATATTTTGCAATCATGCAGTGTGTCTTTAATTTTCAGGTTTTCAGATTTCACAATCCTTTACACTCTTACCCTCCCTCTTGCTACAATTTCTATACAGTTAGTGACAAACCAACCAAAAAGTAGTTTGAATGACAAAAAGGTGTGTCATACTTAAGAGTCATACATTTAAAAGTAATCCACTAGTGGGCACAGGCCATGTGTTATGATAAGCAGAGGAGCTATGATCGTTGATCGCTACAACATCATTGGTTACTTTCTACTAAAGGGTGGGGCAAACTACCTCAATTAAATATTGAGGAAGGAAAAAGAATAGGTTTACACACTGTGTGGGGCTGCACTAGATGGTGATTAAAATGAATTATTTATATTGAGCAGCAGCAGCAGGGTGTTGGGATGTGATGACAGGTTAAGGGTGTCACGAATATCCCCAAGGGGCCACTCTTTGTTTTCAGTTGTAGTGTATATTTTTCAGTCAAACAACTGAATTTGAGGCCTTTAAACCTTATCGGCTGCGTTAGTTTTTCAATAAGCAACACCAGCAACCCTGTAACAGCATATTTTAATATTAATACACCTACCAAAGCCCAGCTGTGACTGGTTGTTCGTTAGAAACCATGCAGTGTGGCTGCTGCTGAGGACCTATAGGCTACTCTTTGGCGAAGGGATACACAAATACACACAGGCAATTAAAACATAGCCTTTCATGTAATATTTCACCAGGATATATTGAAAAGAAATGCTTCACTGAGCATTAACATTGTTTCTTTCATAGAACATTGCATAAAAAGCAAAAGCCCTCTACTATTGTGCCATACAATGCCTCTAATCTGTCTGTTTTTTGTTTTTTTTAAGTAAAGACATCTAACGATCAACGGCCTCTCTGAACCATTTCGATACCCCTAAAACAGCTCTGTCAATCTGGGGGTGGTGTCAACAAGAGCGCAGCATGCTGTGCTGGCTTGCTTGCCGGTGGGCCGCAGGATTTCAGCACCCCTGTCTCCCGGACAGCTCCGTCCAATCAGCTGCGGCTATTTGAAGAACGTCATCCTTCCTCATCATCCTCATCCTCCCCTTCCTCCATCACCGAGGCATGGCGGAGAGGACATCATGGGCGAAAATGCTGAGTCTCACAACCGGCTTCCTGGCAACTTCACATGTTTAATGTAAAAGCAGGCTATAGGAGAAGCATGTTTGTGCAGCCTCGTTTAGGGAGAAGCACAAGCTGCAGCAGGAAATCGTGAAACACGGGCTGTTGTTAGCTAAGCTTTTTTTAATGACGTGTGTCCGGTTTCTACACAATGTCACACGACCTTAGCAGCTCGCCGGCTCAAATGTACACGTTGTAACCTGGTTGGCTTATAGCGAGAACAGCCTTTTCTTTAATTGTTGAATTTTCAACGTTAAACACACACACTTTGACACGGAAAATGAAATCCCTGATCTGCAGAGTGACCCACATGCATTCAACCACATGGCAGCGTATCCACCCCACTGTACCTGATTAAAGGTATAAAGAAAACCTGGGAGCATCCCTCGATGCTGCTCTAACAACCCTGAGGTGTTGGAGCAGGCGTTCAAGCACTGTAGCTGAAGCTAGAACCTGTTAAACTGTGATGTTAGGCTACACATCTGCATTGAGGTTGGGTTCATACACGTGTGAGCAAAATTAACAAAATGTCACCGGCGTCATTACCGTGCAGGCGAAGCGCCAACCGCAGCAATAGCCTATAGTATGATTAGGCTAAACACTCGACGAAGTAGGTTCTGAAAAACAATAGAAACACCACAGCCCTTAATGAATGAAAAAGCCGGTAGTGAATGACACACAATGCGCCTCAGCCCCCGCGAGACAGGTGCATCGCCTATAGCCCACGGCCCGGCGATGCTAAAGCATTTAAATGAATGAAAAATACAAACACATTTTCAAAACTCACCTAATATAATCCAGAGCGACCCAGATACCAAAACGAATGCGAGCATGTCTTTCTCATTGAGTCTGCTGTCCCGGTGCAGGAGCGGCTCAGAACTGCAGCATCGACTGCAGCAAGTCGCCGACAATCTGGGAGATTAAGGAAGAGGGGGTGGGGGTGGGGGCGACAATAAAGGCTATCTGAGATAGACCACGGTGGGGGAGCTGGGCAGGGGTTGTCGATGTCCAGCAGGTTTTTTACTGTGGAACGGAACGCGTTGGCTGAAAAAACAGACCCCGGTGGCCTATTGAAGCATCCTTCTGCTGGTGGATTTTCCACCTTCACCTAGTTGGCTGCTGCGCAATGGCAGACACCCCTGCTGAAATGAAAGGGCTTATGGGTCGGACAGAAGATGCGATCGACGCCAAGGTTACTGGGGATGAAATGTCTATTCTGGGTGCAAACGGATTAGCCACGGCATTAATTGTCATATCTGATGCAAAATAATCATACAAAATGTCCCTAAAATCTATCCTATGAATTTGGGGATTTAAATCCTCTTAAAATAAAAAAATCAGAATTAGTACATATGCTAGTAGGCTCTGTAGCCTATAGCATGTATCTGGGTGTTTTCATATATTCACACTGTTTAATTTTAAAGGAAGTTGTGTTATTTTTAGTCCATGGTACATCACACCATCATGTAGCCTAAACGTCGCTGCAGCTGAGCACGGCTTTGACACAGAGTAACTTTGCATCAGGATCACGTGGTACAATAAGACACTCCCAATGAACTAAAGTAACCTTGAATGGCGGACAAAGTGACAGAGGCATCGAGTGAGTGGCAGCGTAGATTAAACAGAGCGATGATAATAAAAACAAATAAACATGTGAATTACATGCAACAAAAAAATATAGTTTATTTTGCTTATTGGGGAGATCACTGCAGGGCTCACTGGCACATCAGGTTACATTTAAAGTGATTACATTTTCCATCCTGTTATCTCAAGCGCCTTCAGACTGAGATGTGAATGCACCACAAATGATTTTGGTCTTCACTGGCTGCTCAGACTTTGATTTGACCCTTCTGCATGTGAGGGGCTACTCATATTAATGAAACAAAATGTCATCTATTAGCTATGTTTAGGCGGAAAAAACATTTTTATTGTGATTTCTGAATACTGTGGCACCTTAAAAGCCGGCAGATGCATCTGAATATTTAATATTTAAAGCATGCAATTAATCGTTTCCATCTAATTTGTCGAAGCTTTTATTCACTGACCCAGCCTGTGAGTTTATTGTACATTTAACTCACTTACAAGTAGTGGCCGACATACTGACGGTCTTATTGTGCTGTTGTCATGTGACTCACCTTATTAAATGGGTCAGTCGTCAGGACCTCTAATCTGTGACTTGCAGCAGTGCCACACTGCTCTTCTTCTTTTTTTGTTCTCTGATCCCACTGCAGAGAAAACACAAAGACAGGCAAAGAACAAATGTACTGAGACAAATAGTTAAGCTGTTCATTAATGGAGGAGGAGGGAAAATGGTCAAACAGACATACAAGGAGGGGAAATAATCAAATGACTAACTGTCTTTTCATCTCAGTGTAGTAAATCTTACCTGTGGTCAGCCAGCAGGACACCAGGAGAGTGCATGTAGTTTAGGAAAGGACACAGACTACTTCATTTATTTATTTTGCAATGCGATCGAAGTACACACAAGAGAAAAAACTGCTGAATAAAAAAAACACACTGTTCAGTGTTACATAAAGTTAGATAAAACACAACAAATGTTATCAAGTTACCACATATATGGGAGGTTGAGGTTAAGGTCAGGGGTCAAAAGGATAAATAACAGAAATTAACTTTCCATATGCCTTCTCGGACAGGATGGTAATAAATTGGGGATTCCTTATATTTCAAGGTCAGAATAAATACATAAATCGTGGCTTATGTCCAGTATCTTAAATTTTATGAGCAAGTAAAAGAAATGTCCTAGGTTGTTAGTTTCACTTATGTGCACTTTTTGAATTTGAATTTTTGTTTTGAAAGGTTTTGATAACATGAGGAGTGGTTGAAACTCTGGTGATGTTACACAAGAAGACCAAGGGTCTACAGCTGCCCGCGCCTTTGTGAGGCCTTATTTAGGCTCAGTGTTGCATTGAGCTACAGGATAATGTCAGCATGCTAACACGCTCACAATACCAACGCGAACATGCTGATGCTAGGCAAGTATAATGTTTCCCACGTTCACTGTCTTAATTCAATAAGTTAGCGTGCTGACATTTGTTAATTAGCACTGAGCACATGATTAGTTTTGCAGGTATATGGTCATAAATCAAAGTACTGGACAAATTGAAATGGTGACCTGATAATGGCGCTAGATGAAAAGTCAGAGGATCACCAAAGCTATAAGGATTTCCACTAGTGTTGAGAGGACAAATAACCTGTGTAAAGCCATGATGAAGGCAAGACATTAAGATTAACAAAAGCATGTCTGTCTGCCTCTGGTTTCTCTATTTTGCCATAGTTTATGTTTCACAGATGTTTCACAGCACTAAAGATAATAAAAGCCCATCAGGAGCATGACATCACTATGACCCAGTGACCCTCTGAACAGTTTCTACTGCCGTCCCCTTGTTCCTGCTTCAAAACAGGGTTTAATCAGTAACCATGCTGTCATGCAGAGCAGCAACTCAGAGATCTAACTTAATTTCTTGTAAAGTGCCAATCAAATGTGACACCTTTACACAATGTCACAATGTGTCATAGTTTAATTTAAAGCTTGTACACAAATTTAATGCGCATTCTGTGCTTTATCACAGGAGGGGCTACAGACAGAAAACAAGTCTCAGACTAACAAGTTACACAGAGTTGAAGGAAAGCAGAAGGTGGGGAGTTACATATCAAACGGTGAAAATAAGGAGATAAAAACAAGGGAAACATGGATTAAGTAAAGTATGTAGCTTAAACAATGTCTGGAATGAGTATGAATTTGAATGCAAAACCTTTACTTGTGATGGAGCATTTTTACACTGAGGGGTACTTTCCTTCAGTAAAGGATCTTGGTAGAATTTCCACCACTGCTTATTACTTGCTAACGGTTACTTTCATAAGAAGAAAATTATATAACTCAATTGCAGCCTCTCAGAAAAAACTAACCAGCTCTTGATGAATTTACAAAGTATGGTGCATTGTGCAACAGAGCTGCGACACTCACAGACAGTACACTTATTGGGCTGAAGGGGGTGCTAAACTTTAAAACCACATCTGCAGTGATGAAGTAATTTGAGTCTGTTTGGCCTCAGGGAAACTTTAAGCACATGTTGAAAAACTTGTTGCAATATTATATTTTTAGCATTATTTCCACCTCTTTTGTTTAACTCTCCTTCACCTTGCTTTGCAACTCATCTTTTTTTTCCCACTCTTCCCTTTCTCCCTCCCTCTTCATTTGATCACATTTTGTCCTTACATTAGTAATGCTTTAGTTTATGGGTCAATTATTGTTAATTATAATATTATTTTCCTAATAATGTCCAATACATTTTCTGGAAATAACTATGTTTAAGCTATGTATGTGGTAATTATTATAGAGAAAATAGCGACAGTGTTCAATTGACTGAAAGTAATTAACTATGTTAGTATAGAGAGGTTATTAATCTGTGCAGAGCTGTCCTTTCAAGGACATTCCTACTTTTACCATGACAGGAACCACATTACCAGTACTCAATTGAAATTATTAGGAAATGATTACATTTGACCTGTAAAATATAGCATTATCTTTATCTATATACTTAATAGCTGTGTGTTAGGGGTGAGCCATTGTAGGTGCTTTTCCAAGGTGATTCTTTGCAGAGTTTGATGTGGCTGTTCAAAATAGAGAAAATAATAGGGTTTGACTTGAAAACATACACACAAGAAAAGGTGACTGCAATGCCTCCAGGCAGTATCCAGAAACAGAAAACAAGTTAAAACAAACAGAAACATTGGTGCGCCGAAAACTGCTAAAAAGCCGAAATCCAAACACAAACACAAAAAAATCCCAAAGAAAAATGTTTCAGAAAAACAGTAAATATTCTGCCCTGCTCCTTATGCCCTCCCACTCCTCCACCCTACTACCCTGCATGACGTCGCAGTGCAAGCCAGGGTTAACTGACGAAGGCTTTGACTTGATCCAGTGTCAGTGAGCTCTCAAGGCAGATGGTCAAGTGGGAGATTGAATGCTCAAGCTGCTTGCTTCATCCCAAAGCCCCAAATTACTGTCTTATCTTTGCAGGTGGCCTATATAATACGAATAACCATCACATATGCACTTGGAGCAATAAACGTTCTGGATAATTTGTCACTGTGGTCATGAAAACACAGGAGGTTGTAAATAAAGTAGATTTAGGTTGATTAGTTAAATTGGTTTGTTATAGATATTTTTAAAGGCCTCAAAGGACTAAAGCTAACTAGTGCTTTGCAGGGAAACATGAATTGTTATGGAAAAGCCAGAAAAAAATAACGCAATTTTGTTTGAAAGAATGATGTTTTTAATTCTCTCCTGTCAATAAATAATTTTGGGGGTCCCTAACCACAAGTTGGGAAATCGCTACTTAAGTTAGTACCCTTTTCAAAATATTTATTTGTAATAATCCTGAGCTGAAAACAGGACAGAAAGGTCAAATCTGAGATCAAACCCTACACAGTTACATTCATTTAGCCTCAGCCACTCCTAGTGAATTCCTATAACTCACACCTTTCTCTCTACACTGCTTCAAGTGTTCAAACAAAAGGTCAGGATGATTTCCCCCTACAAATCCAGATTTCTGTCTTCATTGGGAAATCCCACAGACAGCCTGCTGGTGTAAACTCCGCAGGAAAAATCCCTGCTATTCCCTCCCAGGAGCGCGCGCGCACAAGCGGCACGAGCGCGCAAACACAACGCGCGGGAAGCCCCTAAATGGACCGGTGTGTGGGATTTCCCAAATTCCCATGATGAACACTCTGTAGGCTACGAGCATGTTTTCATACAACACGAGCTCCAGGACTGATTAGGTGCTGTAAAACCGCACAAAGGGAGAAAAACGAGCACCGGAATACAAAATGGATAAGAAGATAGGCTACAATAAAGTCTGCGAATATAGATCCTGTGATTTTCATTCACTCCCATGCAGTCTTTGTGCACGCGTTGCTTTATTTCTTGGTGATTTATTGTCACAGATATGAATGACAATGTCTGCATAAATGTCGCAGCTTGTCGTATTGAAACGACGCCACGGATCCATGTCACACACAGACTGTGTAAGGTCTCACAAAGCTGCTGCTTCCGCTTAGTTTACCACTGCTCCTGCTGTGTCAGCATGTCTCGAGTACATGTATCATACTGTATGTCCCACACTCAAGCAGTCCATGAAAAGCCTGTACAACATTGCCTCAACTGGTGGCGAAAATTACTGCACCATTTCTTGTAAATGCCTGACTTCTCAGCTCGCATGGTGATTATACTAAAGGGCTGGTCCCATGCACATATTTATCATGCCAGCCTGTGGGGTCAACTCTTGAGGATGAATGCGCGTGGGTGTATGTATGCGTGTGCAGGTTGCAAATATCACCGGTACCGGTATGTTGTTTTAATATGATAGTTTATATGCATATTATATTATCTTCAATATATATATATATATATATATACTGATATTACAGATTATATAATTACTGCTGGCCTACCACTAGATATTTAAATTGCTATTATTAATATTACCATAACTATGTACTGTATATGATGCATAATAAACCATAACATACTTAAGTATTTTATTCTTCTTTAAACATTTACTAAGTAGGCCAAATGTAAAGTCTGCAGAACTGTCCTGTGCCAAATAAGTTTACAGTCTGAGTGTCGGTCTACGTGCAAAAAGCCTGCCGTAATCAAACCATGTTGTTATTAACTTCCTCCTTGCATTCAACAACGTGATTTCTCGGAAACAGATCTACTGCTGAAAGGGGGAGCCAGCTGCGCATGCGCCTAAACGCTGTAAAAAATATCCATGCCGACCTAACTCGGTTTGTAAATTTGATCGTGTAGTGACTTCAAATCACATTGGATTATTGACAGGGGGATGAATGATCAGTGAATATAAGAAGATGAGATTAGTTGTTTACAGTGTAAGTCACTTTGGTTGAAAGATGTTTATTTTTTCTGATTTTAAAATGATTTTTTAAGTGTTAACTGCAGTGATCTGCCTTTTCCACCTCCATTCGTAATACGCACACGTCAATTGAAATAAAACATGATATGCATGAAATTACAATGGTAAAAACCTGTTAAATGATATTTAAATAGGAAATACCCTTTGAAAAAACAGAATTATTTGTCAACATGCTTTACATTTGTTGTTAGCGGTGGACATTTTTTACAGTGGTCGACAGATGGGGGAAAACCCACTTCACCCTATAAAAATGTAGTGTATCGCTAGTAGCCAGTACTTCAGGACAGGTCTCCAAGTGAGTAACACAAAGGAAAGGAGAAGCTTCTGTGGATCAAACTTAAACCAATCGGACTATTCTTGTGGATTTTCCTCTTACGGATCATAGAACAAGCCTGTAAGCGATTTGATATTCATTTATCACTTCTGCTTGCATGCAATGGCTCATATTTAATGCATTTTTATTACCCGGAGCTGCATTA